CGTCTTAGTATGAGACTGACTCATCAGTGGCAGTTAGTGATAGGGAGTGAAGTAGTCGAACGTGTAAACCGCTTCATTTATCTTGGGAGTCTCATCAGTGCCGATGGCCTGACGAAATCTCAGCTCGGATACGGAAGGCTCGATTGGCTTTTGCCAACTTGCGTCACTTATGGCGAAGGCGAGATATCCGTTTGCTGAATAAACGACGAGTGTACTGTGCAGTGGTTCGCTCCGTCTTACTATATGGCTGTGAAACATGGCCAGTGAGAGTAGAAGATATTTGTAGGTTACTGGTTTTCGATCATAGGTGTCTTCGAAGCATTGCTCGTATATCCTGGGACACCCGAGTGAGCAGCGTTGTTATTAGAAAACGGGTTCAAGGTCGGAATGTCAGATCAATAGATGAAGTGGTGAAACTTCATCAGTTGAGGTGGTTGGGACATGTGTTGCGTATGCCCAACCACCGAATGCCTCGTCGAGCTTTGTTTCATAGTGTAGGAATAGGTTGGAAGAAAGTTAGGGACGGCCAAACCAAAACATGGCAGAAATCCATGAAGTCATTGACAAGTGGACTTAGCCATGTCGGTAATTGTCGACTACCTGGTTGGGGTCCGCGAGATGATAATAACCGATGGTTAGAGACCTTGAATGACATGGCTCAAAATCGTTCGCAATGGCGCCGGTGCATTCATTCTTTGTGTTCTCTCAAATCCCAATCTTCTGGATTCTTCAAACCTCTAGTTTTGACTTTGTAAACTTTTCTCACTGAATCATACTTCTTGAATAATAATATCTTCTAATCCTAACCTCTCCGATTACTTTTAATACCCTTACTAACTCTTCTACTATTGGATTTGAATTGACAATTATATCTCTGTGCTGATGTGGTATGGCGACATGAACTGATGTACTTACGTACGAAGTTCTACGTTGCATCTGACTGACTGACTAACTGATTGGCAGTACGCATCAACAACTCTTGCACCTCAAAGGATTTGAACCTAGGATCTATGGTCTTGTGTGCGAACGCCTCTAACCTCTATTCATTAGTCAAATTATTCAGAGATAATCAGCTGTAAATGAAAGAGGTTTAATAGAAAGAGTTATAATTTAGGTTACATAGTCAGGTGGTATTTCAGTGATTCGTAATTCTATAGATACGGCCAAGAATCTTCATAAATGTTTAAGCATTATTGGGTTATGGGGACTGTTTGCTGACACCGAAATCGTAAAAATTGATCAATGTTAGACCACCATTTAAAGCCAACAAGCACTGGACGGCCGTTTCCTCCTTATATGGACGACTCATCAGTACTGTACATTCATGACTCCCGCTCGCGGGAATTGAACCCAAGACCTCCGGTCTCGTGTCAGAACGCTTAGCTTCTAGACCAATGAGCGAGTGTCCAATTGATACGTACTGCTGAGAGTCCAATACTAGGACGAAACGGCTGTCCAATACTAGTGAGTTATTTTCTTCGAGTTCTAAATGAGAAGTCATGATGACCAGCAGAGTTCAACTCTGTTTTTGGGTATAAGGCAGGTTACGCAAGATGATCGATCGATAAGAAGTGGACAAGTAAAAATAAATCAGAGTAAGAAAATCATTTCAAAATATTCCGAAATTTAAACAATTTTGAAATTTAAATTTTAAAAATTGGTCAACATATTATCGTGAATTTACTCTTTATAGTTTCTACCCTTTGATAGTTTGAATAATGAACAATTTCCTGTTTTGTTTCAATGTCCAATTGTTTCAATGATCTGATATTGATTATTGAACAAAATTCTACATTTTTCTACTTTTTGTTTTCACAATGAGTTTTATTAATAAAATATTGTAGTGATGAAGAACACAGATGAGGACAACCAAATTGTATTTAGCGAAAATTACAGAGTTACTCAGTAAAATTGGAAAACCATATTGTAAATCGTTAATTTGCAAAATATCAGTTCATCATATCGAACTGGACTGTTCCTGTTGCAAACAACATCAACGATCCATTGTCACTATTCATACGTTCCATACAAATTCGATTGTTTTCTAACTCTTCCTTTCTTGATCTTCCCCCATCTTCTGCTGCCAGACATTACGTTGACGCTCACTTCATATACTACTTATAAGACATTAAAAATGCAAAATGTTACTTCATTCGATTTGAAATGGTTTAAACGATCTTAATGTTGATATAATTGACTGAAATTTAATTAGTAGTATGCGTTGGTCTATGGGCATTTTATGTAAATTGCCACGATATAGCCATTTCGACATGAGTTTATATATACAGAATAGATAGGATTTGATTTGCAGTGCGATCGATTACCAACATTTCGGCCTAGTTAGTATTCGTCAACTCTGTGATTCAGCTAAACACAAGTGACAAATAAGACAAAAAGGTGTATTCTAGATTCCACCACTGGACATATTCCGTTTATTCTACAGTTTGAAATACAAACAACGATTGTTTAATGTGGATTCTATCAAGTCGGATGAAGAGTAGCTGATGAATCTTAAGTAAGACAAAACGCGTGCGATACTCAAATTTCCTCTATTCTATTGTGGATTACGTTGAAATTTGTAAACAAACGATTGTCGAAGTGTTGACTAATTCAGTCAATATTTTCATCAAAGCACATCATTTATGGTGCTTTGGAGAAGCTTTGGGGGATGTAGAAATCTTTACAAATCTAGGCATTGATAAACAAGATGGAACTGATGCGGATGCAAAGACGCGGACTGATATTGCAAGGACAGTATTTCTACAATCTGAGAATATCTCTAACTCAAAACAAGTGCCAACCAACACCACAGTCATAATTTTCAATAAGAATGTAAAGACAGTTCTGTTGTATTGAATGGCAACTTGGAGAACTGCAGAAACCACTACTATCTAAAAGATAAAGGTGTTTATTAACAGTTGTTTACACAAGATACTCCAAAACTGTTGAACGGGCATCATCAATAACAACCTGCTGTTACAAAGAACAAACCAGATTGCAGCTGAAGGAGAAATCCGGAAAAGGCGCCGAGGGTGGATAGGACGTACATTATGGAAAAAAGCCTCAGGAATCGTGAGTCAAGCTCTACTTTAGAATCGTCAAGGACAAAGGAATAGAGGCCTACCAAGGAATATACTACGTCGGGACTGGAGATAGACGGGGAAAGGATGAACAGCAATCAGGTAAACTCCATTACCAGGTATATTCCGTTTATTCTATGTTAGGACATTCATCCAACAGCCTAAAAGAATTATTGGTCAAATCCTATTGGTCGATTTCTATTGGTCAAAATTATGGTCGTTTTAACTGTCAAAGTCAAATACTTCAATATTGTCTCTTATTGGTCATCCGGACTGTCAATGTCATTTCAAATGTTACTTCCTATTGGTCGTCTCAGCTGTCAATGCTACAGAATTCGATTCTGTTTCCTATTCGACAAAAATGTATAAATACGCATTATCTGTAACATTTTATGACCACGACCAGGACTAGGGCTCGGTCCCGGGTCCCTAGTACAGAATCCTGATTCTCTACTGGATTCGGACCTCGTACTTTCTGGATGCTTGTAGAGTACACGTTCTACTTCATGTCATGTCTTCTTATTTTAACTAAATATAGGGGTTGGTTTATTTGGATTTGAGTAGTATGTCGTGTCACCGGATCCTCGATCCTCGCTCTCGTTTATTGACTAAGGTAAACTCGTAATAGTTAAAGTATGTCAAGTTGACGTGTTTACGTGCAGGCGTAATATTCTACACTAAATCCTATCGGCATTTACCAATTATATTGGCTACCTGAAAAAAAACAGCGATTGTTTAATGTGAATTCTATCAAGTATGATGAAGAACAGCTGATGAAACCTTAAATAAAACAAAAAACATTCACTCCCTCTAATTCAATATTATCCAAATTCAATCAATTCTATGTGGCCAATATTGAAGTTTGCATACAAACGATTGTCATTCAAAAGTGAAACACTGACTTGATTTACTTAGAATGACAGTTGAATGGCAGAATGCAAGTTTCGTCCTATTCGAGATTAGTCTTTAACTAGATGTACTTACATCCCAGTGAGTTGATTTGCATTCCAGGACTCCAATTCACTAACGTTTACTTTAAATACGATTGAGTTATCCACTTAGCTACTGATTCTAGATAACCATTTGGCTTGTACATTGAGGTGAAGTTTAAATCAATTGTACTTGAGAGAATGTTGGTCAGTGGCTCAGGTTCCCCATTTTGTGAGTAACAAGAGTAGGTAAGTAAGTAGCGAACAATACTTTAATTTTCCATTGAACATTGAATGAGTTAGTTTAAACAAAAATTTGACATTGACTACTACTACTGTGGTGCGAGCTACTTATAGGTAGTATATGACGCGAGTGTAAACGTAATGTCTGGCAGCTGCAGAAGATGGGGGAAGATCAAGAAAGGAAGAGTTAGAGCACAATGGAATTTGTATGAAGTGCATGAATAGTGAACTGTCAGACAATGGATTGAAGATTTGCAAATTAACAACGGTTTACGATATGGTTTTCCTATTTTACTGAGTAACTCTGTAATTTTCGTTAAATACAATTCGGTTACCCTCACCTGTGTTCTCCTTCACCACACATGCCCAACCCTTCTCCTTTATCCGGGGGGGGGCCTGGCAGTAACCACAGAAGACATCCAAGTGGAGTTCGATAAACACAACAGGTTTAAATATGTCATCCATTGTACTGACTTTAAGGTTTAGACTTTCCTTGACTTCCATCTATTTATAAGTTATTGATGAAGCTTGAAAATGGTTGATAACACGGTGTTATCTGTGGAAAAAAAATTCTAACACTTCATTTCTATTTGAATGAATGTTTCACAACCAAAACTATTCAGTTTAGAGAATAAAATTCCAACCAGAGAATAATGGCGCGTGTTCTAAATTAATAAATTATTTAATATTGAAATGAAAATAATGACCTTGAATTCAATGTTGAAAAATTTCCCCTCCTGTTTTTTAGCAAGAAAAGAAGTACTTTCCTCTGCGCCAACATCACCAAATAGCAGTGACAATGAAATACCTGGTCCACCAATCTCTTCATTTAAATTTCAACCAACAAAAGATTCAAGAAAATCATATCGAAAAATCATCACTAACACCACGGGCACCACCTCATCATCACATACCAATTGGCGAAAACGTCATGGTATGATGACAACACTACATTGTGGTCCATTCTTTCATCGTCGTACTACACACCATCATCATCAGCGTCATCCTCATCATCAACATACTAGTAACAATGGACTACTATTCAATTCACCTTACCAATCAGATGTAAGTCAATCTGCACCAAGTAGTCCTACAATTGATACTTATGAAACATTACCACTGATATCGAATTATGCACCCATAACAACAACAATAGCAGGTCAAACCACTGAACCGCCTAATTCAAAACTATCAACCATCAATCGATCATCTACACAGTCGAATGTGTTGCGGACAGAATTTCAAAACAATCATAATCATACTAATATTGATAATGATTATAAACGCATTGAATCACGATCACCATCTTGTTTTCCCGCGAGTCATAATTCATTGAAATATGCTGAATCTACATTATTATGTTTAATGCAACGTCTTGGAATACAAGTAAGTGCATTTATTTTGTCTGCGATTTTATACTACTCATATTGAGGTATATAAGTAGTATTTAGTGTATGTAGTTATTATCAAAGAGACAAAAGAATGTCAAGGCATCAAAATGTTTGAGCATGATCAATGTATTTGAGCATAAGAAGATATGTGAAAGAAGAAAGTTGACAAACTGTTGGGGATGTTAGATCCCTAGGAATCACTTCGAAAAAGGTCGTAATTTTGTTATTTTTCCATGTTTTCGCACATGGGCTGGTCAGTTGACCTTGAGATTACATTTCCCAATCAGGAAAATCCTTAACTGTCATTAGTTGATATGTTATTTTAGTACGCTATTTTTGTGGCTCATCCAAGGACGTTTCTATCATGTATAAGCAAACTCGATTAGTGTGTTCGTAGAATACACTTTCTATGTCTTATCAAGACTTCTTACTATAGTTAGCAGAGTCGAAGACAATTGAATGAGAATAGCTTATCGTGTCACTGTATTATTTGTTTTCTCTCTCGTTAAACGAGTACGGTGAACTCGTTAAAGTTTCAGGTATATCACTGACAAATTATGTACTACGTTTCTTTCAGGACTTCTTATTTGCAAAACAGTGATGTCTAAGTGTTTCATGACTGAAACGATGTTTACTGTCATTTCAAGTTTGATTATTTGTCAAAATATAACCTTCAAAGGTTCGGGGTCTGACTCCGATTTGGGACGAGCAATGCAATTATGCCAGCGAGATAAACCTTCCATCTAATTTCTATATATTTGTTATGCCTGCACGTAAACACGCCATTTTGATATGCTTGAACTATTATGAGTTCATCTAGTCGGAAAACGAGAGCGAGGATCGAGGATCCGGTGACACGACACACTACTCAAATCCGATTATACCATCACCGTTGCTACTTGTTATGTTCGTCAGTAGGTAGGCTCGAAGCTATTACGTGTTCACCTTAGTCGATAAACGCGAACGAGACAATGAACCAGCGTCCAGGTAGGCTACCTTGAATCCCAAACTACAAAACAGAAGTTTTGATAAAGCGTAGAAAGTATATTCTACAAACACCGAGCAATCATAATACAATCAAGCACACAACTCTCGTTTATTTATTACATCATAGAAACGTCCTTGAGACAGTTACGAAAATAGCACACTAAAATACACAGCAGCAAATCACAGCCATGGATTTTCCTAGTGGGAAATGAAATTTCAAGGTCAACTGATCAGCCCATGCTGGCAAACGTGAAATCCAAAATAAGGCATTTATCAAGCGAGTTCTGGGGATCTAACATCCCCAACAATATTACTCTTAGGCGAAGCTTGTGTTGTGCGACAACAACAATCACTGCATACATTCACGTTTGTCAGACAGATATTAGGGAATAAGAAGCATAAAAATGAGGTGAAACAAGGTGGAGAAGGTGAATGGACTGACTCTTTTTGGTGTCGCTTCTGGTGCTTGATGAATAAAGTATAGGCTCAAGCAAAAACATCCAAGGATATAGAGTCGATTAACCGACAAGGTGAACAAATGACTGAAGAAGAATCGATTCACTATTCTTCACATTGACCAGAGTTAAACATTAACACCGTTGGATGTCATCCGGCTCAGTGGTCCAGAGGTTAGACCGTCGCGCGCACGATACCGAACGTCCTGAGTCCGATTCCTGAGGGTAGCGGAAGTCGTGGTGTAGTGAAGGAGAACACAGGTGAGGCAACCGAATTGTATTAAACGAAAATTACAGAGTTACTCAGTAAAATAGGAAAACAAAATCGTAAATCGTTCATTTGCAAAATAACAGTTCATCATATCGAACTGAACTGTTCCTGTTGCAAAACATCAATCCATTGTCACTATTCATGTGTTTCATACAAATTCCATTCTTTTCTAACTCTCCCTTTCTTGATCTTCCCCCATCTTCTGCTGCCAGACATTACGTTGATACTCACGTCATATACTACTTATAAGTAGCTCGCACCACAGTGGATGCACACTGCCACTGATGAGTAAGTAGTCCCATACCAGGAAGAAACGACTGTCTAGTGCTTCTAGGTTTCTAATGGTAGTCTAACAACGAACTCCTAACTCGATAGTAAGAAATTATAATTAGTCTGTCCGACAGCTAGAACAAACCATGTAGGCTGAACATCATTATGGTACACACACTATACAGATCTTTACTAATTCACTGATCAATATATATGATCTTGTATGATTCTTCAAAAGTTTTAAGCAGATTACTTAAAATTTGTATTTAGTAGTATAAAGTTAATTAATCAATGAAAAATATTGTTTTCTGTTTTTATTGGATAATAGTTAGAATTTTATTGAACAATGATCAAACAAAAGGTCATTCGATATGACCTTTTGATAAGAGTTATTTTTTAAACCCTTAACTATGTGATTTATAACATCGATCTAAGGAATTCAAAGTAATAGACAAAAATAATCTGGTCAGTTTAATATTGTTGTGCACGGAAACCCAGATGAGGACATCGACAGTATATTTAAGCGAATAGTACAGAGTTGTTAGGCATATTTACAAAACCTTCCCGTGAGATCATCATTTGCAAACACTAATCCTTATTTGTTTCAGATTTCAGTGTTCTTTCATTTAGACTGTTCAGACTTCAGTTCACTTTACGTTACCTACAAATCGCCTTCTGTTCTCATCTTTTCCTTCTCGATCTTTTGCTGTCAGACGTTTGATTTCCATTTGATATCATATACTACTTATGTGAACATAAGTAGCGTACACAACAATAAAACTTCACAGGTACCTCACATACATTTGAGTTTTGGGGCTGAGTTTTGGAGGTTTGTGCTTTTACACATTTGAAATCATCAATCAATGATTGTTAGACCACCATTAGAATGCTGGAAGCACTGGACGGCAGTTTCGTCCTGGTATGGGACTCATCAGTGGCAGTGCACATCCACGACTTCTGCACCTCGCCGGATTCGAATCCGGGACCTTCGGTATTGTGTGCGAACTGCTAGCCATTGGACCACTGAGTTTGTTTAAGTTTGATTTAGTTAAAACCTTTTGATGGACTTGTTGATTAAACTGAGTCATTCGTATAGCAATAACGTATCTGTATCATTGTGTTGTTATTATGGTCAGGCTTGTATGAGTATGTACGCCTATATATATATATATATATATATATATATATATATATATATATATATATATATATATATATATATATCAAGAAGTGTATTCTACAAAAACCCAGAAAATGCGAGGTTGACAAACACACAATTCGAGCTTATTTATACATGATAGAAATGACCTTGAGAGATCCATAAAATAATGCACTAAAATAATCCACTAACCAGTGACAGTCAAGGATTTCCCGAGTGGTTAATGTAACCTGAAGGTCAACTAAGCAACTTATGCGCGAAAACATAGAAAAATCCAAAACTAGGACTTTTTCAAGTGAGAGTTCTGGGGATCTAACATGCTCAACACTTGTTTAATTAAATTACCAGAATTTTAGCGCGGTTATTTTTTTATTGTTTGAAAATTTAATAATGGTAATTTGCCACTTAAATTCAGTGACTTGATACATTCGCCATAATGCTTAATACTGACCTATAAGTATAAGTGACCTATGAAAAACCAATTACGTGACAAGGACAAGGAAAACGCACACTTTATTCTTGATGGTTTTACCTTGTTACCAACACCTAGCTGCGAACTCAAAGGAAAAATACACCTCCAATGATTATTATATCCCTGTTAGTGGGATATAGATTGGATTAAAGTCTGATTGCGTTGTTGCACGCTGATTGGCTCTTTCATATCAACCAATCAGCGTCAGCCGATACTGAGAGAACATTGCCGAATCTTCTCGTGTAAGAAAACTGTAAATATACTGACGTCTTTCTCCTTTGGACTTCTCTGACTTCCTTCTAACCTTGTTGTTGGAACCTAATCTATTTTTCCCTGTTCAACCGTGTTCTGGTTTTGGGAGAACCTCTCAAGTGAATTGGTGTCCGAGAATACTAACTAACAGTAGGAATAACTGGGTTGTAATAATAAGAGAGAGTTATAAAAATCCCAGATATTATTTCATTTACATATAAAACCAGATTACATCACACCAATAAGTGGAAAATCACAACTATACATGAATAAATCACTTGAAATTATGCAATGATTACTGCCAGACCACCATAAGAAACCTGAAAGTGGCTAGATAACCGTTTCTTCCCAATATGAGTGTGAAGCAGTGCCCACCAAAGACAATGGGGTGAGGTAACGTCATACTGTAGATTGGTCGAAGTTAGACACAGACACCGTGGTCTCGAGGTTAACAGTTCGTACACAGAACTGAAGGTCCTGAGTTTGATTTCCGCATGTGGGCATTGTGGACAAACGATAATAGTCGATAAATCGATTGTCTAAGTTTTACGCCTGCAAGTAAACACGTCAACTTGATATATTTAAACTATTACGAGTTTACCTAGTCGGAAAACGAGAGCGAGGATCGAGGATCCGGTGACACGACATGCTACTAAATCCGATTATCCTAACCCCCATATTAATGAGTAAAAAATAAGAAGACGTAATATGAAGTAGAACCTATATTCTACAAGCATCTAGAAAGCACGAGGTCCGAATCCAGTAGAGAATCAGGATCCGGGACCGGGTCATGGTCCTGGTCGTGGTCATAAAACGTTACACATAATGCGTATTTAAACATTTTGGCCGAATAAGAAACAGCATCGAAGTCTGTGACCTTGACAGTTAAAGCGACATAATTTTGACCAATAGAAATCGACCAATAGGATTTGACCAATAAATTCTCTTAGGATATTGGATAAATATCCTAACACTAAGCTATCGTTTACTTTATCTAAGTTGATAAAAAAGAAAATATTTCTATATTTTTAAATAATTTTTCAAAGATAAATTTAAAAAAATATCAATAAATTGAAAGTTCACATTTTATTTAGGATAATTCAAAAAGTGACATATCATGAATTTTGATCAATGTTAAACCACCATTAAAAACCTGAAATCACTGAATGAACGTGTTCCTCCTAGTATGGGACTCATCAGTGACAGTGCTCATCGATCGACTCCGTTGAATGCCTATTCACTGGTCTAGAGACAAAGCGTTCAATCGTGAGGTTTAAGGTCCTAGGCTTGGTCCCACTTGGTGAATGTATCATGGATATGCACTGCTGATGCATTTCAAACTAAGACGAAACCGATATCTAGGCTTTGTGGGCTTTTTTTATATGATAAACTAACACTGGTCGCCATTCATGATTTCAAAAGGTAACAACTCAACAATCTTCACAAGTCTATAAATATATAATAAGTTGTGATTGTTACACTGTTCTCACTTACTTGATTTTGGTTCCCAACAGACTAGAATAATTCACGCCAACATTACATCTGATAAGAATTTATGCTTCATTGATCATTGAACTAGTTTTGTTTGTTTAAAACAAGGAAAACAAAATGGTCGCCTGAATAGCGGCGCCAAAACCAATTTGTCTTTTTTGTGTGTGTTGGTTTTAAAATAAAGCTGGTCAAATAAGGCTGGGCTGATATTCCATTGTCAAACTAACCGCTCAATGCTTTAAATTATTGATTTTTGATAACATGAGAAGAATGACATTGTCAAAAGTATAACAAAAGTTTTTATATGGTTGTCATGGTTTCTAGTATTGTTAATCTATTAGGAAAGAGAAAATGGGGAAAGATGGAATTTCACAAAGCATTACAGAAAATAATCATAAGTATTTTTTTGTAAAAAAATCTCTAGGTATAGAATTGAATGACGTAATCATCAGTTGAGATATAATATTCAATTACTTAGTCATAGGAATTGTTACGCCTGCACGTAAACACGTCAACTTGATATATAGTTGAACTATTGCGAGTTTACCCCTTAGTCGGAAAACGACAGCGAGGTTCGAGGATCTGGCGACACGACATACTACTCAAATCTGATTATTCCAAACACCCCATATTCAGTGAAAATAAGAAGACGTGATATGATGTAGAATCTGTATTCTACAAGCATCCAGAAAGTACGAGGTCCGAGTCCGGAGGAGAATCAGGATCCGGGACTATGGACCCGGAACCGAGTCCTGGTCCTGGTCGTGGTCATAAACCGTTACACATAATGCGTATTTATACATTTTGGTCGAATAGGAAACAGCATCGAAGTCTGTGACATTGACAGTTAAGGCGACCAATAGGAAACAACATTACAGCACGTGACATTGATAGGTCGTACAACCATAATATTGACTAGTAGGAATTATCCAATAGGAATTCACTAATAATTCTCTTAGGATATTGGATGAATATCCTAACACGAATTAGCTAGGGGGATTTTAAACTGTCAAGATGACAAGATTTGTGTATTCAGATGAAAAAAACAAACTCGTTGATTTTTATTGTGTATATCAAGTGAAATGGAATTATGCAAACTTTAATTTAAGACAATACTGACTGTCTTTTTTGAAAATAAACTCTTGTTGTATGTTTATAGTGATAGATTATGTCAGTTAACATGATTACTTGTTAATTTACTTGAGCCTGTTACCCACCAATGGAGCATAGGCCGCCGACCAGCAATCTCCAACCTACTTTGTCATGGGACTTCCTTTCCAGTTCTGTCCAATTTTCGTTCATTCTTCTCATATCTGTCTCCATTCCTTGGCGTAATGTGTTGCTTAGCCTTCGGATTTTCCATTGGCCTTAAGGGTTCCAAGTAAGGGTTTGTCGTGTGACGCAGTTGGGTGCTTTTCGCAGTGTATGTCCTATCCATTTCCAGTGCTTCTCCCTGATTTCTTCATCCACTGGAATCTGGTTTGTTCTCTCCCACAATAGGTTGTTACTGATAGTGTCTGGCCAACTTAACCGAAATATTTTGCGAAGACAACTGTTAATAAACACTTGTATCTTCTGGATAATGGCTTTTGTAGTTCTTCAAGTTTCCGCCGCATACAATAGAACTGTCTTGACATTTATATTGAAAATTGTGACTTTGGTGTTAGTTGATAGTTGTTTTGAGTTCTAGATATTCTTCAATTCTAGAAAATCCGGTCCTAGCTGCACTTAACATGATAGCAGCTTAGAAATATTTTTTTTTGTTGAGAAAAATAAACTCTTATTAAGCAATCTAGTTCATCAGTCCTGTACGTTAATACTCTGCCAACTCTATATTGACATCGATTACCATTTCAAGAAATCTAAAGAGATTATCATTACTTTGCATGAATTGTAGTGAACGTGAACACAGGTGGGGCAACCGAATTGTATTTAGGGAAATTACAGAGTTACTCAGTAAAATTGGAAAACCATATCGTAAATCGTTCATTTGCAAAATATCAGTTCATCATATCGAACTGGACTGTTCCTGTTGCAAAACATCAATCCATTGTCACTATTCATTCCATTGTTTTCTAACTCTTCCTTTCTTGATCTTCCCCCATCCTCTTCTGCTGCCAGACATTACGTTGACACTCACGTCATATACTACTTATAAGTAGCTCACACCACAGAATAATTATTACTGTATTATCTACTAGGATGGACATGAGATCGATGTGAAGACAGAGATTAGTAAAGCAAGAGCAACATTTTTACAATTGAAGAACTTATCTGGAACTCTAAACAAACAAGTATCAACCAATAACAAAGTCAGAATTTTCAATAAAAAAACGTCAAAACTATTCATTTGTATGAAATGAAAACTTAGAGAACTACGAAAGTTATCATCTGCAAGAAACAGGTGTTTATGGAGAGCAGCTATCTACTCAAGAGACTCCGGATCTGTTGACTAGACACTACTATCAGTAACAACCTACTGTGGGAGAGAACAAACCAGATTCGGTTTGAGAAAGAAATTAGAAAAACCCGCTAGAGATGGATAGAACATACATTACAGAAATCATCTAGCTGTGTAACCAGGCAAACTCTAACTTGAAACGTTCAAAATGAAAGGAAAAGGAGTAAACCAAAGAACATATGACGCTGAGATTTGGAAACAGGACATGCAAGGAATGAACAGCAATTGGTTGCAACTGGAAAAGAAGGCTGAGGACAGAGTAGGTTAGGCGAATGCTGGTCGGTGGCCTTCGCTCAATTAGGGGTAATAGGAGTAAGGAAACTAAGCACGATCGACCAGGGATGTGTTATCGACTACATATCAATTACTAAACAACTTTATACTATTAAAATTTTCAAGAGTCAGTCAGTTGCAACATAGAATTTCGTACGTATGTACATAAGTTCAGGTTGCCATACCACATTAACACAAAGATGCAAGTGTCAAATCAAATCCCATAGTAATAGAGGCAGTCGGTGGTTAGCCATACGTAACACATGTTCCAACCATGTCAACTGATGAAGTTTCACCACTTCATCTATTGATTTGCCATCTCTACCTAGGTTTCCTAACGACAGCATTGCTTACTCGGTTGTCCCACGATATACGAGCAATGCTTCTTAAAAATCTATGATCGAATGCTCGTAACCTATGAATATCTTCTACTCTCACTGGCCATGTTTCACAGCCAGAAAGTAAGACGGAGCGAACTACTGCGCAGTACACTCGTCCTTTGGTTAACAAGCGGATATCACGCCTACGCCGTAAGTGACGCAGGTTGGCAAAAGGCAATCGAGACTTCTGTATCCACGAGGAGATTTCGTCAGTCACCAGGCCATCAGCACTGATGAGACTCCCAAGATAAGTGAAGTGATTAACACGCTCGACTACTTCACTCCCTATCACTAGTTCAGGTGCCGAAGCAACCCAGTCTTGAAGCAACATTTTGCATTTCGAGGAGGAAAACCGCATCCCGAACATGCTTGCATTGTTGCTTAGGGTAGTCAGAAGACTCTGCATTTTGTCAGCGTCTTCACCAAATAGAACTATGTCATCGGCATATTCTAGATCAGTAAGCGACTTTCCTGGTTGAAGGTCAACCCCTGAAAAATCTGACGAGCTTAATGTTAACTCTAAGAGGATGTCTACGACAAAGTTAAACAAGAATGGAGAGAGTGGACAGCCCTGACGGACACCACTTGATGTAGAGAATTCAGATGACAGTTCGCCATATGCTCTCACCCGACCAGTGGTGTTCGAGTAGAGAGCTTGTATAAGGTTAATGTACTTCTTTGGTACACCTTTGAATGACAGACACTGCCACAGAACCTCACGATCCACTGAGTCAAATTCCGCTTTTAGGTTCAGGAACAAAAAATTTTCAAGAATTAATCAATTTAATTTAAATTCCTACTTTATTTTTTATTTCATCTGAATAGTCTGTTTGGCCATGCCTCTTAGAACATGGAGTGGCGGATGTGAATCGACTTAGTAAATTGACCAGGAATCAATTAATTGAAATGGGTGTCACAGATGCTGAGACAAGAGCAACATTAATGACAGCTGCTCAACTGCTTACAGATTCATGGTTGAGTAAGTTTGCAGTAGTAATAATAATAATAATAATAATAATAATAATAATAATAATAATAATAATTGTATGAGGTTGCGCAACTTAGTCCGTGAATTGATCAAGTTAGACATTAACGCCGTTAGATACCGGCTCAGTGATCCAATGGTTAGGCGTTCGCCTACAATACCGGAGGTCCTGGGTTCGTATGCTGCGGGATGAAGGAGTCGTGGATGCGCACTGCCACTGGTGAGTCCCATACCAGGACGAAACGGCCGTCTTCCAGTGCTTTCAGGTTTCTAATGGTGGTCTAACATCGATCGATTCATGGTTTCAAAATTGCGTAATAGCAATGATAATAATTAACGATTTTCAACAAATTTAAGATGAAATTTAGCCATCAGTGTCCACTTATGACTTTTGGATAAGTTCTCTGTTATAATCGATTGATTCTTGAGAAAATGCTCAGCTTCATATGAGAATAATATATGTAGAATTTTTCAATTGGTTGGTGTTCTGATTATCGTTTTGGTTGATTTTTATTGAAAATTGATTGGATGTGAAGTTTTGAATAAAATGTGCGCTATTTGCTTTAATTAAGATACGATTAGATATCGGTGAATGGAATGTGAGAACCTCAGTGACGCCAATAATAGAACAGCTTGTCTGTTCGCTGAGGCTCAGACCAGCTGAATAGTTCATGAAGTTCAAAGTTATCAGGAAGATCGCATAATCTGCAAGTAGCCCTGAATGAACGAATTAACAAGGTGTTACGCATGCACGTAACACGTCACTTGATATGCTTGAACTATTACGAGTTTACCTTAGTCAGTAAACGAGAGTGAGAATATGGCGATACGATATGCTTCTCTAATCCTAGTGTCCCAAACCCGCATTGAGTAAAAGAAGAAGACTTGTTATGAAATAGAACATGTATTCTACAACAGCATCCAGAAAGTATGAGGTCCGAGTCCAGAAGAGTATCAGCATCCCGGACTAGGGATCCGGGATCTAGCATCACGAACCAAATGATTTGCTCTTGTCGATAAATACATTCTTTGTATGAATACCTTATTCATACCGGGTATTTGCCAGTGTAACATCTAATACAGAGACAGTTATCAACCGCAGACAATGAATAAGGGTAGCTAAATTTCATGGATTGATTGATGTTAGCCATCGTCAATACCATCTGACGTCGTCTCGGTAGCTTAGAGGTTAAATGTCCATGTATGGTGTGAAGGTCTTGAGTTTCACTCTCATGTGCATAGTCATCTGTGCTTGCTTATCAGGAGTTCCATACTGCAGCGAGATAGCCTAACCGACATTAGTTCTATGTTTAAACTATGAACATTCTGATCTCCACAAATTCCCCTATTCTAACTAAAACCTTGTTCCTTCACTAAAACTGGATTCTATCGTCTAATAAACACATCATCAATCAAACCAATCGAGATCCCATGTTTGGAATGTATCGGGGAAACCGAATACCACTAATATACACGTAATGTTTTTATTGATAATGACAGAATCATTAAAATGTTTTCTAACAAGTAGTTCTTAATTTCATTAAAATCATGAATCGATCTATGTTAGATCACCAATGGAAACCTCGAAGCAATAGAATGCCATTTTGTCCTAGTATATATAATCCTAAAAGCGGCAATCAAACCAAGGACCTTCTGTTTCTCGTGAGAACATTTAACCTTATAACCATTGAGTCAGTTATCCACTGACGACAATGAATGATGGTCATGCAATATTCTGGATGATGACTCAACGGTCAACAAGTCAGACGAGACCTAAGGTGTTGGGTTCGATTCCTACTTGCAAGGTCATGCATGCGCACTACTGATGAGTCCCATACTAAGACGAAACGACCAGTGGTGATGTAACATTGATCGATTCATGATTTCAATGAAAGTAACTCTACAATCCTACACAGATAAATGTTAATCGTTGAACTACAAACTAACTAACTATTCAAAGTATATTCTCTTTGAAAAAACTGTTCATATTTACACTGTTTTAATTATTATTATTACTATTTTTATTTCTAATTTCTAATAGATAACAATTCCCCATTTCATAAAACATGGAATAAATCTACTGGAAAAATGTCCAATGATTTACTACTTGACAATCAAAATGTACATGATTCTGGTATTTCAAGTGGAACAGATTATAATACTAGTACATGTTTAACTTATAAACCACAATTAACAACTTTTTATCATAACAATGGTAATAATAGCAATAATAGTGAATTGAAAAGTCGCCACGAAGATATGACCGCTGGTAAATTAGAACGAACGGAATATCAACATCAATCACGGTAGTTATTGTATATATATTTTGTTGAATCGATTGATAATTCATATTGAAAATCTTGATTACTGGTGAAGTAGTGCTTTGTAAAATTAATCAATAAAGTTGCACATGACTGCACATGATTGATACTAGTTCAGTGATCTAAAGATCAAGAGACCGAAGGTTTTGGGTTCGACTCCGAAGGATGGGGTTCATGGATGCGCACTGTTACTGATGAGTCAGTCTTATACTAGAACGAAACGATCGTCCTGTGATTGTGTGTTTTTTTAATGGTGGTCTAACACTGATTGATTTAAGATTTCAATGAAAGTCAGCAATCTCCATAACTCTATGATGACAACCGATTATTGATTAAGACTGGTCATGGTTAACCATGAAGCCTGTAGCACATGTACGCTGCTGCATTTTAAGCAAAACAAGGATTCTCACAAGAGCCAATATTGCGATCACCCCTGCCCCACATACGGGAACGTACATGTTGTCTAGATTGGTCTGCAGACGAGTTGACGTCCAAAAAGCACGCACACGAGCAGTGACCCCTGTTCAGGCACTTGCAAATCAGCTCGATCCATCAAACCAATCTACTACACACAATCCCCAATCGGCAAGGGCGGCAGGGTGGGCTTTCCCAGCTAGACCTGGAACCCCGAAACGGATTACTGACCCACCCAGCAGTGCACTATCCAGCAGCCGTTCCAACCATCTGGCCTCCAACTGCCTTGCGCTGATACAATAGATCGGAGTTCCCAAGGCCCCACATGAAGCTAAAGATCGAGTTTGTCCCGTAAGGTCAGCCAGAACGTACACCTTTCCATGAGGAAGATGTCATCAGCTCGACCAAGCGCAAGCGCTCAACCAAAAAGGGTTCATCCCATTACGTAAGTGGACAGACATCATTGGCGTCCAGTACCAGTTCAGCACTGGAACACCGGAACCCTACTGGAGACCCTTGTTTAAGGGGCCTCGATGCCAGTTCACACACTACATCGGGTGCAGAGTGTAAGGGACAACCACATAGGGTTGGCTTCAATAGTCCAGGATCTCTACGGCTGCTTCCCCGAACAGAACGTCCAGGGCCGCCTTCAATCAAATTTGGGAAGCTACATCCCATTCAAGGTATTTGCTACCACGGAATGATAGAGGAAAAGTCCTCAAACCATTATAGGAATTTACCTACGCCCGATGGACGGGATACAGACTTAGAGACGTTCAGTCCTAACCCCCCAAAGTGGCTAACCGCATCCACAGCCTTGCGACCATGAACACGTACCATTATTCTGGACCATGCTAGGCACGGTATACTAAGCGTTCGGAACGGCTTTTAGCAGCAGCTCTGTAAACAATGCCACGTTGTCTGGCAGGGCCACGAAGAGGTAGCCGTCACCACAACCCCCAAAAGGCTCCATTTATGCGCGTCACCTAATATACCCATTCAATTAGATAACTAGGCATTTGGCTACCTTAAGAGAGTCATAGTTACTATGTTAATGTGATGACTGAGTGTTGAACCGATGTTACGTGTTTCAAGTTTTTCTTTGACGATGGTCGACCGCTATCGATCAAAAAACACCAAACACACTATTTTAAGAAATCTATAGATCTAGGGTATCATCTATCTTATTGACAATCGCCGACCATCACCCGAGTTTATTTTGTTTATATTTTTATACTACTCATCAATATTCAATAGTTTATATTGCAAATAATCATTACCGCTAATTTCATTCAAAAAAACCTGATATAATCTGTGTGAATTCTATTTACTAGTAAAAAGTAATAATTTCGCACAACTCTATGCCGTCATACACTTTATTGTACGTACTACACTTTCGTTCTTATACAGTACTATTCAAAGAATTCACTTTCTTATTGAATTTTGAAGTGAAGCATTCATATCACTTTAGTGTAAACTCTACAGTTCAAATTGTCTTCACTTATTAACGATAATATTTATCTAGTCAAAACAAGTCCTTCTTAGTCATTGGGAGAGAATGACAGATCAACTGGAAAAGAGGAGAAAAAGGAAGCTAGTTAGTGTTGTCTATTACAACCTTCGAGTTTAGGTCTGGCTTCAGAACAGTCAAATCCTTTGATGAACATTTCTCGACCATCGGCTGCAAACTCTCATAGAATTGATCGTTCTCGTTGTTATTGTAAGTAAGCGCATAGTCCTGAATGACATTCATTGTAATCCGCTATTTCTTTGTCTTGAAGGATACTTTGATGATGCTGGGTCCATGAGATGCCCCTCACATAAGTACTTTTTACGCTTCTTTGGAGAGCATCAATGAATCTCTTTGAGTACGTGAGGAATTTTCGTCTTCATTGCCAGAGCACATCAGCATCTCTTTGTACAACCTGCGTCCAAGTTGTTTATCTTATTCCAAGCACCATCAGTTTGTATCATTTCACTTATGCAACAACTTGGATAGTTCTTCCAGTCTCCCACAATGTGCGAGCATTCCATGAACCTATGTTAATTATTGCTCTGATTGTCATAAGGGGGCATCGGCCTCGTGATCTAGGAAGAAACTAGGCTTTCATCATGAAACATCACAACTCTTCTAAAATAAAGACCTTCCAATTCCCAAGGCAAAGTTTAAATGGTCTGAATTATTTGTTCTAGTTAGCGTTAGTTTTTTTATGGGATGCGGCTGCTAACCCCCCATACCGAACCCTTCTCCGGCAATGTCCTTAGAAGGAATCTAGGCGGAGTTACTTATTTCTAATGAGGATAGATATAAAAATCGGCAATCCATAATCATGAAAACTTCACATTTATAGAATCTGGAAAGTGAAACTCGAGCTGAATAGTTTGAAGATTTAGGAAACTGTTACGCCTGCACGAAAACACGTCATTCTGATATGCTTGAACTATTAAGAGTTTACCTAGTCAGAAAACGAGAGCGAGGATCCGGCGACACGACATGCTACTTAAATCCGATTATTCTGACCCCCCCCCATATTCAGTGAAAATAGAAGACATGATATGAAGTAGAATCTGTATTCTGTAAGCATCCAGAAAGTACGAGGTCCGAATCCAGAAGAGAATCAGGATCCCGGACTAGGGATCCGGGACCGAGCCCTTGTCCTGGTCGTGGTCGTTGTCATAAAATGTTACACATAATGCGTATTTATACATTTTGGTCGAATAGGAAACAGCATCGAATTCTGTGACATTGACAGTTAAGACGACCAATAGGAAGTAACATTTGAAGTGACATTGATAGTTCGGACAACCAATAAGAAACGAGATTGAAGTACGTGACATTGATATCTAGGACGACCATAAAATTGACCAGTAGGAATTAACCAATGAGGAATTGAGCAATAATTCTCTTAGGCTATTGGATGAATATCCCCTAACAAAAACCCATTTACAATGAAAGTTATTCATACTATCTCTGATGTTTATTTATTTGTTTTGTTCTAGATGGGGTTATGGTCAATTAATGCCTAATGAAGAACCACAGGAATCGAGTCAAATGAATTCCTATGAAGAAATTAATGTGAATATACCAATGATTAAACAAAACATTGGATCTTATCAAACCATCAATTCAGATAAGAATTCATTTCAAAATGGTAAGACTCAATAATAATATAATGCATAGGATTGAATCACATTAAAAAAAGTGAACTGTATCCAGTCTAAAAACTGTTGTATTGACTCCGCATATATTCAAGTTCGCTTTAGATTTAATTTAGTTAAGCTGTTTCGATTAATTTATTTAACCAAGCCATTTGTAGTGTGTCGATTTGCTGCGTGTTCTTAAGCTCGGTAATTAACTCGTTCCGACAGTCGTTACTAACTAACGTCTGAGGGTTAATAAATCAGAAGGTAAACTCGAAGTGATGAATACATTTATTTAGGACACACACCACAAAGCGAAGCAGTGAATAAAATGGATGAAACAACGTGAATTGGAGAAGGCTAGTGAGCCAACTCGAAGAGATAGAGCGTGACTAAGAATATATAGTCAGAATAATATAAGACAGACAGACATGTGACAAGCGAAATAGGCATGCACACAAATGAATAAAAGCGACGAACTAGTCTGTTTGATATAATAATAACAACCAGTTATTTTTGAATGACCTTATTTATGAAGTTCACTGGTAAGGTGTACCATTTCAGTATGAAATCACTCATTAAGGAGGAGGATAATTGACGAAAATCATTATCAGATTTAGAGTTGTTAAACGTATGAAGGCGGTTGTCACTTCCTGGTTGCTCATGCATTCAGTCAGTCAGATGCAACGTAGAACTTCGTACGTAAGTACATCAGTTCATGTTGTCATACCACATCAGCACAGAGATATAATTATCAATTCAAATCCAATAGTAGAAGAGGTAGTAAGGGTATTAGAAGTAATCGGAGAGGTTAGGATTAGAAGATATTATTCAAGAAGTATGATTCAGTGAGAAACGTATAGAAAGTCAAAACTAGAGGTGTTGAAGAATCCAGAAGATTAGGATTTGAGAGAACACAAAGAATAAATGCACCGGCGCCATTGAAAACGATTCTGAGCTATGTCGTTCAAGGTCTCTAACCATCGATTATTATCATCTCGCGGACCACAACCACACAGCCTACATCTACCAACATGACTCAGTCCACTTGTCAATGACTTCATGGATTTCTGTCATGTTTTGGTTTGGCCGCCCCTAACTTTAATTTTCCAGTCACTCAACCAATCTGTTTGGTATGAAAGGGACTTCATACACCTTGATTAGATTGTCATGTTAAGTAAGTCCAAAAACACTATGGTAAAAGTAATAACTATCTTACCATCGAAAGGATAAGTTTACCACACTTACTTACTGGTATGCAAATGTTAAAATTGTGTCCATTATCTATTTAATGTTTGACGATCGTACACTTATGAAAACTATGAGGAATATGTTTTGAAATCCATTTTTCAGTCTTTCCTACATGCTTGCTGTTAGGATATTCATCAAATATCCTTAGGAAATTATTTTTTGAGTCTAATTCTATTGGTCGATTCCTATTGGTCAATAACTAAGGTCGTCCTAACTATCAGTCCACATACTTTAAATGTTATTTCCTATTGGTTAGTATTCACGGTCGATCTAACTATATAAAGATGCATTGTTTGTAAAGTTTTATGCTCCTCTTCTCCTTGTTCTGTACGAAATCTCGTATTTTCTGGGTGCTTGTAGTATACACTTTCTACTCCATATCAAGACTTTTTGATAGCGTTAGTATGGGCTTTGGACGTTCGGATTAGAGTAACCTATCGTCTCACAGGATCATTATCTTCGCTCTGGTTTACCGACTAATGTGAACTCGTAATAGTTCAAGCGTATCAACGGACGAGCATGACACTTGCTTCCATAAATACATTACATTCGGTGGTGACCTCAAACTAAGATTAATCTAAAAATATCACACTTCACCTTACCCCATGAATTTTCGTTCCTGGCAACAAGACATTTTGAAGAGTTCAGCTTACACATGAAAAACATCTCATAAGAAGGCCATGCGCAACCGGCCTTAAAAAGTTGTCCCTTGGATTCTATGGTCACGCTTCTACAAGACCAACCCTACCTCAACTTTTTATTTCAGGTTCCTCAAGAAATACCGTTCCACAGTGTAGGCAACCCGGAAGTGACATTCCCCCTTATACCCCTAACAGCACACGAGAAAATTGATTTAAGGTATACCTCGTACACTATGTACACTGAGAAAATGTAAATTCAAGTTATTTACAGCTAATAACAATCTCTAATATTTTTTTTTTTTCAAAAAACTTACATCGACTTTAATTTTTTTCAAAATTTATTACTTATAGTTTCCAAAGTATTCGGTGATATACAATGTCAATCAGTAAGTTTCATTTGAAATCAATATATTTCAACCTATTTTGTAAGTTTTTTCGCTTAAACTATCGTTTTATTGTTGTTGAACTGTGAAGCTTTTTCAACACAAAACAAACGGAAAATCTCTATGTTCCAAAGTGTGTAGGGGATTTAATTTGTCCTACAAATGTAATTCTAGAACTGTAAACGCAATATTGGCAAGCATAGAGTCTATGGGACAGCTATAGAGTCAGAACAAGATCAACTTTTACTTGAAACTTTATCTATTTCTAAACATAAAAACAATTAAATTAGTACAATAAATAAGGAAATTACAATTATCATCAAGTAAGACGAGCAAACGTACCGACCAATATATAGCGTGTCTTATGGAAATGAGTACAGTTATGAGTCACATCAATATAATAAGATAATAATGTCAATCAATGAGTAGGTCATTTACAGCAAAGAAAGTTTACAGACACGTCAGGTCAGATCACGTGGTGGGTGCTTAAACCACAATTTGATTGGTTAGTTATGAGATAACTACAACTAGTTATGGAAATAATTAACTAACTGTTTCTGCTGAATACCCTTGAATTGTACAGGCAGTTATTAATACAAGTCAAAGAAGATCTTGTTAATCACAATGAACAGTGATAGTTTGTTGGGTTGGGATGAGCAATCTACTAGTCGAAAAGTGTACACCATTAGTGTAACATTTGTAAAACGAGTGTATTCTTGACTATCTTCTATTCCTCAAAACATCCAGATCGTAGCCATAATCTCTATCCAACACACTTCTCTACTCGATGATAACTTCAAGGTGATACTCTGCTGTATATCTCGGGTGTTGATACGAGTATTAGGGCGGATGTCACTAACCAGCTGCTCACACTGTAGAAGGGTATTTCTTGAGCAACCTCGAAAGGTCTTAGAAAACTGCGAATGTTACCACAGAGCACAAGAGACAACTACTTGGGGCCGGTCACACACGGCCTTTTTATGGAAAGTTTTTAAAATGTTAACTCCGGTCTTTTTAAAATGCCTTACCGCCGGAGATAGAAATCCTTGAGGTAAGGTGAGGTGTGACATTTTTAGGGTCGACATTTTCTATACCCTTCCTTCCTTGCTTTGTGAGAAGACAGCATCGCTGCAGATGCTGGTTGTCTAAGGGAAACACCTTACTACTGATGTCACACCCTTCTTCAGTCAGTAGTACGACTTCGCCTTCAGACCTTCATTTGCCGCTTTTAGTTTCACCGTTCTCCAATCAGCCAGCCTTTCATGGTAGAACCTACAGGAACAGATGTTCGAGCCAATATACCTCGGTTCGGTCATCACGATAGGCAGGACCAACCACCACGTCAATGTAGTAGCTACGGCCAATTACATCTCTTTGCTAATGTCGTATAGCAACTTGAACTGTTGTACGTATATACCAATTTCTACATTGTAGCTGTATACTACTTATAAGCTCTACTAAGTAGTACACACAACACTTATTCAGAGAGAGTATTATTTTAAACTTTAACTGAAACTAAATATTTTGCATTATATGAATCGTGATAGACATACTACCTGTTTATCGTAAAGGAATAAATATTCGAAATTGATTGTCTCCTTTCTCTGATGAGTTATTGATCTAAAGAAGTACTTTTGTCAGACTTTTTATTGGTTAAGGGCTCAAGACTAGGGTGCGATGAAATAAATCTCCTCTATATCATGATGTTTAGGTGAACCTCGTTTGTGCGATGGCGGTGATGAGAAGCCAAATATCGATTCAGTTGAATGAGTCTATATCAGGCAATAATCATTCAAGCTGACAAGTCAAGCAAAGCCAAATGACGTGAAGAATGAAGACAGACATACGCTAAGCGAAGTAAGCGTGTACACACACATGCACACACTCAATAAATGAAAACAACCAATGATATTAAGCGAATCATTGACAAGGTCAAAATACCTGGAAATAAATGACTCGAGCATAAGCGGTCGATTCGTTTTTCCCTGAAGGATTCGACCACACACATGACACTATCGTTATATTATCAAAACGATTTATTCATAAAATGTTCAATGCTTAAAAGTGATAATTACTTGAAATTTTATTATTTTCTTTATCATACTTTTCAATTTTTTTTTTGTTAAAAATAACTTAGAAACATCCTGTAAGTATTTTAAGAAATAGTCGATTCACCAAAGATAATACAAATCAATTCGATATGGATCAAGTGAAACGTTCCTCATCCACTACACCGAAAACTGTAAAAATTGATGAACGTTTCCTTTCAACACCATCATCATCAACATCATCATCACGAAATGAACAACAACAGAATAGTAGTAGTACACCGATACAACCATCACAAATTTCGTCCCTACCACCGTCATCGTCATCATCATCATCATCATCAGCGGCAGTAGCATCAACTACTTCTACTACTTCTGTTACTACAAATTACTATGTACAGTATCCTCAAAATAGTACAATGAACAAAGCAGATCCAAACAGTGTATACGTTCAACATATTTATTTAGCTAGATATATATTAAGAAAGAAATTAAATGCTGAACATATTGATCTAACTCAATTACCTTATTCTGATGAGGTGAGTGAATTTACTTAAGATGCGGGGTTGTAAAGAGTGTTAAGTTAAGCAACCTTGAAATCATCAATCGATCAGTGTTAGTAGATCACCATCATTAGAAGAAACTTGGAAGCACTGTTTAGACGGCTGTTCCGTTCTGGTATGGGACTACTCATCAGTGGCAGTGCGCATTCACCTTGCAGGATTCAAACCCAGGACCTTCGGTATTACGAGCGAACGCTGAACCTCTGAACCACTGAGCCGGTATCTTACGGTGCTAATGTCTAACTTCGATCAAGTTCAACCTGTTCAGGTGTAGACAGCAACTATCGAAGTGTAGGGTTCGTCACTTAGTATGCTTGAGGCTATTACGAGTTTACATTAGTCGATAAACGTGAACGAGACAATGGACCAGCGTCCAGGTAGGCTACCTTGAATCCCCAAAGCGAGTAAAAAGACTTTGTAAGCGTAGAAAGTATATTCTACAAACACCCAGCAATCACAGTACAATCATGCACACAACTCTCGTTTATTTATCCATCATAGAAACGTCCTTGAGACAGTTAAGAAAAAAGCACACTACAATACACGGCAGCCAATCACAGCCATGGATTTTCGTGGTGGGAATTGAAATCTCAAGGTCAACCGATCAGCCCATGCTGGCAAATGTGAAAACCAAAATAAGGCATTTATCAGGCGAGTTCTGGGGATCTAACATCCCCAACACGAAGACAGTGTATGAGGTTGAGCAAGACTGCGAACTGAAAGAAGTTAGACATTAACATCGTCAGATATCTGCTCTGTGGTTCAAAGGATAGGCGTGTGCGCACAATACCGAAGGTCCAGGGTGCAGCAGTCGTGAATACGCACTACTGAAGAGTAGTCCCATACCGGGACGAAACGGCCGTCCAGTACTTTCAGGTTTCTCCTGATTGTGGTCTAACATTCATCGATTCGTGATTTCAAATACTTTAGTTGTGATGTATTTCTCATTGGAATTCTCGCTCTATAGTGTTTAACTCAAGACTGAAACTCCTTGGGTTTAGTAACGATGAGTAGCGCAAGAGTTTATGAATGTGCACTGTCACTGATGAATAGCCGCAGACGAATGCTGGTCTAACACTGTTCGGTGTATGGTTTCAATGAAATTCGACAATCTCCAAGAAGCATTACTGAAACCGTGTAAGTCTTTGGTTCAACTGCCCATTATTACATAGGAAAGGATTTGTATTGATCTAGTTTAACGCCCTGATATTATAATAACGTATTTAGTTGGATATGAAGGCTAGAATTGCGTGAGTTCGACTGTGAGTCATGGCTTTGAGAGTGGAGGGAAGATACTAGCAGTGAAGGGTGAGAGAAGATTAACTGGTCGAAACACTATTACTCCGTTTATTCCTAATACATGTTAACGTAAAATGACAGTCGAACAAAACATATATCCAACATGACCACAATACACTGATATCAAAACTAAGTCAATACTTACTTACTTACTTGCTTATGCACTTACTTACCTACCTACTTGTGTACTTACTTGCTTACTTACTTACTTACGCCTGTTACACCCAATGGAGTATAGGCCGCCCACCAGTAAGTATTCTCCAACCAACTCTGTCCTAGGACTCCCTCCTTTCCGGTCCTGTTCAATTTTTGTTCATTCTTCTCATATCTTTCTCTATTTCTTGGCGTGATATGTTTCTTGGCCTTCCTCTTTTCCTTTGACCTTGAAACTTCCAAGAAAGGGCTTGTCTTGTGACGCAGTTCGATGCTTTCCGTAATGTATGTCCTATCCACCACTTCCACCGCTTTTTCCTGATTTCCTCCTCAGTTAGAATCTGGTTTGTTCTCTTCCATAGTAGGTTTTGGTTATGTGAAATTAGCCGAGTCTAAATCACTTTCTCTGGTAGCTGCTTTTCAAACGTCTCATGATGTTCGGAGAAAGTATGTTACTATCCAGATCGAGGGTGCATCAGCTCGTTTTCAAATCGACACGGCATCTGAAATCACCTTAATGTCTAAAGAAATGTATAAATTTCTGGGAAAACTGCCAATGAAGCCATCTATGAAAACAGCTAAAAGCGCTTCAGGTGGTGTGTTAAAACTGGTTGGTGAGATACAATGTGAATTTTCCTTCAACGGAACAAAATGTACGGGTATATGCTATCTGACAGAACGGCCAAACCTTGATCTTCTTGGTCTGGATATGATAGAGAAACTGGGAATAATGGATTTACCCATTAACAGTGTCTGCAGCGTGTCGTGTTCATCATTGAACACCCCGATGCTTAAAAAGAAGACAGGTGAAAGGTTACAAGATAAACGGAAGAGGAAGTCAGCCTCTGTTTTTCAGAATAGCCTTGGCCGCTGTACGAATATGAAAGCTCACCTACCAGTGAAACCAGATGTCAAACCTATTCCACGTCCGAGACGCCCCATACCATATGCTGTTCGTGAGCCTCAACAAAACTTATCGATGAGGAAGCAGCCCAGTCGATGGTTGTTTAAAGATATGGCTCCTACAAAGCAGGCGGCTCGTAAGAGTACGGGTGGCAAGGCACCCAAGAAGCAGTTGGACTCTAGCATTAGATCCTACGAATCTTCTCAAAGGGGAGGTGTTAGTGGGACATAAATAGAATTAAAGCATGACTAAGTTGCTGTGCGCTGATTGGCCAATTTCCTATCCAATCAGCGCCTGATCGGTTCATGGAGAACAGGGTAGAAAACTCTCGTACTGTTAGCTGCATGCTGATTGGTTAAATCTAATCCAGTCGGTCACGTGAATTTCTATCCAAAAGCTTATCATGTAAATGATATACATAAACTAACGTTGTATCTATTGTTGCCTTCGCCTTCGCCATCACCTTTGGCTTCTTATTTCTATTTAACCTTGCTGTTTGGAATATAATCTTTTCCTGTTCAACCGTGTTTTTGGTTCTTTGGTACTTGTCCAGTATATTGTGGTCAGAGAATACTAAGCAATAGGATATAGCTGGGAATCATTCAACCAAGCGTTACAACAGTAGGTTGTTGCCGATGGTGTCTGGCCAACGAATCTGAAGTATTTTGCATAGACAACTGTCAATAAACACTTGTATCTTCTGGATGATGGTTTTTGTAGTTCTCCAAGTTTCAAACTCATACAACAGAACTGTCTTGATATTTGTATTGAAAATTCTGACTTTGTTGTTGCTTGATAGGGTAGATCAATGTAGTATAGAAGGTTACAATTAATCTACAATAATCTTGAAATAAAAAAATAGTATGACAGTGAATCATACATTAAACGAAAGCTTGTGATTAACGGAATTTAACTTGAGGGACATAACTAAATGTCAGTATCATACATACATCAAATTAAGCGCGATTATTAATACCAGTAGAATAAATCTCCCTTAGCCTATCCCAATGATTTTAATGTCTAATTGGATGCCGATTAGGTCGTTTGGAGGTGAAGTGTTCGTACGCGAAGTCCGAGGCATTGGATTCGATTCCGCACATGCGATTTAGTGGATAGTCACTAACAATAAGCTTCATACTATGATGAAATGACCCTTCAATGCTTCTAGATTCCATGATTTCAATGAAACATTTCAGATTGTAGTGAACGAGAACACAGGCGAGGGCAACCGGATTGTATTTAACGAAAATTACAGAGTTACTCAGTAAAATAGGAAAACCATATCGTAAATCGTTCATTTGCAGAATATCAGTTCATCATATCGAACTGGACCGTTCCTGTTGCAAAACATCAATCCATTGTCACTATTCATGATGCGTTTCATACAAATTCCATTGTGTTCTAACTCTTTCTTTCTTGATCTTCCCTATCTTCTGCTGTCAGACATTACGTTGACACTCACGTCATATACTACTTTTAAGTAGCTCGCACCACAGCACCACACCCGTCCCCCCTTTTAATAAGCTGTCGTCACTTTCAAAACAGGGACCCTGGTCAGTTAATATGACCTTCCGTATTCCGCGACGCACTACAATATGCCGGATTACCACTTCGGTCATTGTTCTTGCCCGCTGGTCTGGAATGAGTACGACATCTATCCGACGTGTAGCGTTTACTAGTTCCCGCTGTTGGGACACGGTGACAGGCACACTCTCGATAAATTGCGACGCCAACAACTGTGCCTCCGACTCCTCATCGATGTTCGGCAGCGCATGGCGCAAAAATCTGGTGAGCTTCACAGCAAGCATCAGCGGGTCACCATCAGCCGACAGCCTCGCCAACTGATAAGTAGCTCGCACCACACAATTAATGGTAGAATCTTATATTCAATTAATCTGTAAATGATAAACTTCTACTCCATAAAAAAAACTTGATCGAAATAATTTAGTGTGATTGAACATTGATCAAATTTCAATTGGATTGAATTTTGAATGGTGGATCGATTTGTTAGAATTTAATGCCCGAATTCGTTACTCCTATTTTCTTCTTTTTTTCTTTTTTCTGTCACAGACCGGTCAAGCAAATATTCCTTTACGTTTAATTCAACGTTATTCATTTGAAACTAATTTAGATCTACTTACTGTAGCAATGGCATTAGAAGCTGAAAGAGATACAAATTTAAGAGAGATAAAAAGACCTGTGGTAAGTTTTATACTGTAATTTTAAATTCTGTTGCTGATTCGTTGAAAGCCATTATTGTGAATTATCAGGTTATCTCATTATGTCACAATAATATTAGTCGCAATGGATAGTGACTAGTAGTGGAATAAAAACCGTGTGTTTCGTCCTATTTAGGATCCTTCAGTTGGGAGCACATGTATTTCAGAGAATTGATATTCACTGCGGAACTCAAACCTAGTACCGTTCACTTGAAACTTCATCTCCCCATATCCACTTAGTTATGGAATCCAAATTGTCACAACTAGTACAAGTAATATTCGTTATAGAGTTATTGTTACGCCTGCACGTAAACACGTCAACTTGATATACTTGAACTATTACGAGTTTACCTAGTCGGAAAACGAGAGCGAGGATCGAGGATCCGGCGACACGATAGGCTACTCAAATCCGATTATCCCGACCCCCATATTGAGTAAAAATAAGAAAACTTGATATGAAGTAGAACCTGTATTCTACAAGCATCCAGAAAGTACGAGGTCTGAATCCAGAAGAGAAACAGGATCCCGGACTCGGGATCCGGGACCGAGCCCCAGTCCTGGTCGTGGTCATAATACGTTACAAATAATGCGTATTTATACATTTTGGTCGAATAGGAAACAGCATCGAATTCTGTGACATTGATAGTTAAGACGACCAATAGCAAGTAACATTTGAAATGACATTGACAGTTCGGATGACCAATAAGAAACAACATTGAAGTATTTGACTTTGAAAGTTAAAACGACCATATTTTTGATCAATAGAAATCGACCAATAGGAATTGACCAATAATTCTCTTAGGATATTGGATGAATATCCTAACAATTATGGAGATTGAAATCTTTATAAAATCAATCATTGTTAGACTATGCTATTACGAGTTCATCTTGGTCAGTAAACGGGAGAAATCAATGACGCAGTGACACGATAGACTATACTAATCCGTTTGTCCCCGAACCGGCTAACTAAATCAAGAAGTCTTGATAAGGCGTAGAAAGTGTATTCTGCAATCCCTCAGAAAATACGAGGTTGACAAGCACAAAAAATCAAGCTTAATTGTACATGACAGAAACGGTCTTGGAAGAGCCATAAAAATAACATTAAAATAATCCATCAACCAATGACAATCAAGGATTTTCCGAGTGGGAAAAGTTTGCTCAAGGTCAGATAAGCGACTTATGCCCGAAAACACAGAAAAAAAATTTAGGACCTTTTTCCAAGTGAGTTCTGGTGATCTAACGTCCCCAACAGGTCCTCAGTTCGATCCTCTGTGATAGAGGGTCACGGATGCACACTAGGATGAAACGGTAGTTTAGTGCTTCTAGGTTTCTAATGGTGATCTAGTTTAGATCAATTCATTATTATTTTGACTATGATTTTAGAATTCATCACTTGAAAGTAATTCACATATCGAATTTAATACAATGAACTGATATCAAGAAGTCTTGATAAAGCGTAGAGAGAATGTATTCTACAAGCACCCAGAAAATACAAGGTTTCTAGGCACTAAAAACAAGCTTATCTATTATACAATGATAAATACGCCCTTAGGAGAGCCACAAAATAGCATACTAAAATAACACATCAACCAATGACAGTCAATGATTTTCCGAGCGCGAAATGTAAACTCAAGGTCAACGAGGCGTCTTTTTTTGTGCGAAAACATAAAAAATTCGAAATTTCAGAAATAAACTACAATATTAGGACCTTTTTTAAGTGAGTTCTGGAGATCTAACCTCCCCAAGCATAAATTTAGAAACAACTATAAATCGTTCAACAGTTTTAAAGGATTAAAAACTTTTATGATCTGTCATTCATGTTCAGCTTCATGGAGTACTTTATTCTTATCCATGTACTCCCTCATTTGTCCGTCCACCAGCCCTTCCTTTACCTATGATATTATTGGTAGTAATTCAACTGGGCTGTAACATGCTGGTTCCTTTCTGTCTCCTCCTTTGAAGATCGGAGAGAGAGCAGCTTGTTTCCATTCAGCTGGGAGTTGATGTGACTCCAGTGAATGCCTGAACAGGTCTGCTAACCAAAAAAATGTACAAATTATCATAAAACATCTATTTTCTAAAACAGACTGTCTACTTTCATAGGTCTTCAACTCCTTGAAACCTTTTAATCTCACCACACATTCCAATCCAATAGTTTTCTGCCCTATGTTAACTTCTGGGTGACACTCTATGAAATACTACACTCATTAGCCATATTACAAGTAACATGTTATTTGTGTAAATACAGTTTTGAAGATAAGGTCAAAATTTCTTATTTAGCATGACATTCATTAACGAAAATTACAACCAAACAGACTGCAGCTGCAATAAAAAAGACGTTCAATGCAGCTAATCTGAAACTTATCAGAACAACTCAATCGATCTCAGTTACCCCAATCAAGTCTCCAAGACCGATTCAGTCCAAATCCCACTGTATTTACCAATTCACATGTAACTACGGAGAAAGTTACTTAGAGAGGACAGATCGCCGATCGAAAGACAGGATAGGGGAACATATTCCAAAATGGTTAATCAAATCCATGATTCATCAACCTAGCCCGTCATCTCAAAATCGATCAAGAAACCCAGCCTCGTCCACTGCAAAACATCTAATGATGATGAGTGGTCATCAAATTGACCCAAAAACAGCCTTTATAGAGTTGTGACATGTCATCGAAACCCACACAAACACTGAAACTACTCGAAACTATCTTGATTGGTCGGAAAAGTCCTCCAACTTTATGTGTTCATAAACAACTAACTGTATGTTGACCTTTGTTTACCATGGTTCTAGTCAGTGAATGAATGTCATGCTCAATAAGAAATTTTGACGTTATTTTCAAAACTGTATTTACACAAATAACATGTTGCTTGTATGTATGTGACTGACGAGAAAGCACGAAATGGTACTACTATCTCACAAAATATGTCTTCTCATTTCTCTGTTCAAATTTATCAAAGGGAACCATTGTTTTGAATATTACAAGTAGTGTAAACCTTATTTTCAGACGTCTATTTATAAAATAAGAGGGCTATTGACTGTCCTCTTTAGTATATATATATATATATATATATATATATATATATATGTTTTGGTCATTGAAACACTTTGATTGTGACATTCCATCGCACACTACTTATAAGCCATATTATGAGTAGTATAAATCTTTCCAGTAAAATTTTTTTAATGATGTAAATATTCATTATTCTTTGCATTTCTTGCTTGTTCTTCTTTCTGTTATTGTTATCTTAGATATCATTTAATGAAGAAATTCGTTCACAACGTTTTCTTAATTGTGATAGTATTAAAACAGGAAATTTACAAGAATTTCTCATTACCATCGGTTTACCTATGTACATAAATCATATATTACATTATAATACTACTAATAATAAGAGTAATAATAGTAGTCAATCATTATTAATGATGACCCCGGCGGATTTATTAAATATGTCCAATGGTGAATTACAAGAAAAACTACATTTTCTCCCTATTCACATTCAATGGTTACGTCAAGAAGCTGCAGTTATCCCATGGATACTATTATTAGGTCATATGAATTGTACAAAATCTTCACAGATCAATAATTGTGCAACAAATCATTTGTATAGTTTACCACGTACTGTATACAATAATAATGATAGTAATAATAATTATTGTCGACGTAGTTCATCCCAATTAAGAAGAGCGCATCAATGTCAACCAGCGCAACCGACACAACCACAACCACAGCAGCCGCTGAAGCATTCAACACAATCCAACCAACCGATCAATAATTCTTGTCAGCATTCACATCCTCATCAGCATCCGCAACAACATCAGCAACAACCACAATGTTATCATCATGAAAACCGACAATTAGATCATTTAAACAATTTTGAAAATTTAATTGATAAAGTTTAAAAGCGAAAAAAAAAACAATGAATTTGAATTGTGAAATAATGAAATATTCTGTTGTGATTATTTTTATTTAGTTTAATTTATTTCAAATAATAAAAATGAACATTTTTTATATGGTTGAAATGATGAAATGCTATGTGTGTGTGTATGTGTGTTGATTAGAAGATTACTGGTGGTGTATTATGAATGTTTTGTTCTTAGGTATAGGACTGTATAACTCCGCCAGTAGAACCATCGGGGCTACTGCCGGTCTCAAGCGCAGGTAAAGGAGGAGGGTTGGAGATGGGGTTGGCGACCCCATTCCATCGAAATCTCACTTGCCAAAAAAATGCTAACCAGAAAAAATAATTCAAACCATTTTAACTCTGCCCTGGGAGTTGGAAGAAGAATTATGACGTCGCGTGATGAAAGCCGAGTTCCCTCGGAAGTTACGGGGCTGATGCCTCTTCTGACAACCAGGTACATGGAACGTTCGTACATTGTGGGAGACTGGAAGACTATTTCAAGTTGCGGCAGAAATGAAATCATACAACCTCGAGGTGCTTGGAATCAGTGAAACACATTGGACACAGGTAGGACAACTGAGACTAGCTTCAGGAGAACTGCTGTTATACTCTGGTCATGAAGAGGAAAATGCTTCACATACACAAGGAGTTTCACTGATGCTGTCCAAACATGCACAAAAAGCACTAATGGGATGGGAATCTCATAGACAAACAATCATAAAAACATCCTTCAAAACAAAGAAACAGGACATTACAATGAACGTCATCCAATGTTATGCACCTACCGATGACTACAATGACGACGTTAAAGATCAATTCTACGAAAGGCTGCAGTCAATCGTCGATAGATGCTCATCAAAGGATTTGACGATTCTGATGGGAGACCTGAATGCCAAGGTTGGCATGGACAACACTGGATATGAAGACATCATGGGACGACATGGACTGGGAGAAAGGAACGAAAATGGTGAGAGATTTGCAAACCTATGTGCCTTCAACAAACTGGTCATCGGTGGCACAATATTCCCGCACAAACGCATACACAAAGCCACATGGATTTCACCGGACTACACTACTCAGGACCAAATTGACCATATCTTTATCAACAAAACGTTCAGAAGGACTATGGAGGATGTGAGAACCAAGAGAGGAGCTGATCTAGCCTCAGATCACCATTTGCTGATCGCCAAAATGAAACTGAAACTAAAGAAGCACTGGACAACGAAACAGACAACATCACAGAAGTTTAATACTGCGTAAGTAAGTAAGTAAGTAAGTAACAGGACTCTATGACCATTATACAAGGATACTAATTAAATTCAGGGTCTTTGGTCTCAGATATGCAAATGCTGAATGTCTAGTCTACCAATCTATGTGATTGATTTGTGCTTCATCTGTTGTCTATGATGGATAAGTGTTTCAGACTCGATAGTAATTAAGCTTCACTGGTCATTGTAGTGAAGGAGAACACAGATGAGGACAACCGAATTGTATTTAACGAAAATTACACAGTTACTCAGTAAAATAAGAAAACCATATCGTAAACGGTTAATTTGCAAATCTTCAATCCATCATCAATCCATTGTCTGACATTTCACTCAATATTCATGCGTTTCATACAAATTCCATTGTGTTCCCATTCTTCCTTTCTCGTGATCTTCCCCCATCTTCTGCTGCCAGTCATTAAGTTTACACTCGCGTCATATACTACTTATAAGTAGCGCTCACCACAGTCATGACTGTAGAAACTTCCACTCGAAGCGACAACTAGTGGAATGTAATTCGAGTCGACATAGTCATCTATCATAGGCAGTGAGTAAGTGAATGAAGAGTGAAACAAGATCATGGATTGGTTGAAAGCAGATATGAACACTATCTGACGTCGACTTAATGAACTGGAGATTTGGTGTTTGCTTGCTAGACCGACGGTCATGCGTTCAAACCTTGTTCGCTGCTGAGAAGCTCCATACTAATAAGAAATAGCCATCTATTGGTGTTACATTTACACTGATGATCTAGATTAGATTAGTTCGTGATTTTAACTACCAGAATAATATAATCGTTACAAAGACTATGTCGAGGAAATTAGCGTAATACATCTGTTTCGTTATATGAATAATGTGCAAGTTCTTCAAGTCTTGATGAAGATGAAAGAGCTACAGCAAATTTGAAGAGAAGGAAAGCAGCGCGATGAATGGTGGTCCAGTTTTAACAGTAAGATTGACCGAGATCTTAGGTAGAATTTGGCAACTGGACACGATCCCATCTGACCGGTCGCAATCACTGGTTGTTCTAGTTTATAAGAAAGGACAAAAGTCTTCTTGTGACAACCACAGAGGAGTCAGCTCAACTAATATAATGTCTAAAATATTAGCTTCAGTAATATTTCAACGTCTGACTAGGGCTGGTGAAGAGCAGTCTGGAGAAAATTCGGCTGGTTTCAGATCTGGACGTGGCTTTATCGACCAAATATTCACAGTTCATTAGGCTTTAAAACACAGACACACATTTCGGCATCCAAAAATAGTTATATTCCTAGACCTTAAGGAGGCATTTAACTCTGTTGATGGTGAGATTCTGTCACAGTGCCTGTCAGTGAAAGATGTACCAAAAAAGTATATTTACTTTGTATGGGTTCTCTATTCGAACACTACTTGTCGAGTGAGAGCTTATGATGAACTGTCATCAGAACTGATTGAGCAGACTGAGGCAGGCTCAATAGATTGTATTTGGCAAATTTACACTCTTAGTCAATTAAAAACGATAACATTACATTGAACACTCCATTTGCACACCATCTTTGAGTCCTGACTTCCAACGCTCCAGCCTTCTTCCATTCCTGCTGTTGCTTCCTTTACTTCCTGTTGGTACTCCATTTACTTCTTGCTTTTGCTCCATTTGCTTTCCGTTTTCCTCTTCTGACCGTGAGACTTCTTCTTTCACGTCCCTTCTTATACTACTTATATCGTTCGTATAAGTAGCACACACCACATGATTACCTCGAGTGGTTTTCATCAGGGCTCTTCACTTTCTCCATTCTTGTTTAAGCTTGTCATATACATGCTTTTTGAGATGACATTATCTTCATCTGAATTTTCAGGTGTTGACCTTCTATCAGGAGATTCGCTTGTTAACTCAGAATGTGCCGATGACATAGTTCTACTTGGTGAAGATGCTGAAAAAATGCAGAGTCTTCTGACCACTTCAAACAACAATGTAAGCATGTTCGGGATGCGGTTTTCCCCCTCGAAATGCAAAATGTTGCTTCGAAATTGGGTTGCATCGGCATTTGAACTAGTGATAGGGATTGAAGTAGACGAGCGTGTAGACCGCTTCACTTATGTTGGGAGTCTCATCAGTGCTGATGGCCTGGTGACTGAAGAAATCTCGGATACAGAAGGCTCGAATGGCTTTTGCCAACTGGTGTAATTTATAACGTAGGCGAGATATCCGTTTGCTAACCAAAGGATGAGTCTACTGCACAGCATTTCGCTCTGTCCTACACTACAGGTGTGGAACGTGACCGCTAAGAATGGAGGATATTAGTAGGTTATCAGTATTCCATCAAAGGTAGAATGGAAGAAAGCAAGTGGTGGCTAAATCAAAGCGTTGCATAAATCCGTGGCGTCACTAACAGCTAGATTGAGCCATGCTAGCAGATGCAGACTACCTGGTTGGGGTCCAGGAGAAAATAGTTACCGATGGTTAGAGACTTTGAATTATATGGCTTAAAATCGTTTGCAATGGCGCAGGTGCATGTACTCTTTGAGTTCTCTCAAATTCTCATCTTCAGCCTAAATTTACATTTTATCAGTGTACATAATATACTAGGCATTCCTTAAATCAATCTTCTCGTGTGCTGTTAGGGGTATAAGGGTGAATGTCAGTTCTTGGTTGCCCTTACTGTGGAAGGGTATTTCTTGAGGAACCTGAAAAAGAAGTTGAGGTAGGGTTGGTCTTAGTGACCTAGAAGCGCCACCATAGAAACGAAGGGACAACTGTTTAAAGCTGGTTGCGCATGGCCTTCTTATGAGATGATTTTCATGTGTAAGCTGAACTCTTTAAAATGTCTTGTTGCCAGAAACGAAAATTCATGGTGTAAGGTGAAGTGTGATATTTTTTAGATTAATGATAGTTTGAGGTCACCACTGAATGTAATGTATTTATGGAAGCAAGTGTCATGCTCGTCCGGTGATATGCTTGAACTTTTACGAGTTCACTTTAGTCGGTAAATCAGAGCGAAGACATATGATGATCGTGTGAGACGATAGGTTACTCTAATCCGAACGTCCAAAGCCCATACTAACGCTATCAAAAAGTCTTGATATGGCGTAGAAAGTGTATTGTACAAGCACACAGAAAATATGAGGTTTTGTACAGAAGGTGAAGAGAAGCATAAAACTTTACAGACAATGCATATTTATACAGTTGAGTCGACCATGAACACTAACCAATAGGACAGAACATTTAAAAGTATGTGAACTTGATAGTTTAAGAAGACGACCTTCAATATTGACCAATAGTAATTGACCAATAGAATTAGACTTACAAAATAATTTCTGTACGATATTTGATGATAAAAATCACATTTTCATTCAATGAATTCATTTCCTTCATACGTCATTATTGAAAAAAAAGAATTTCTTGTCAATGTATTCACTGTTCACATTTGTATTGCTTATCAAGATTGTAAAGACATTTTCTATGAAAGAACTATGATCAGTAAATCAATAAAACGGATAAGAATGATACAATTATAATGTTATGTCGTTCGATAAAATCCAATACAGAATATATATACCTGTGTTTGTTTGTTTTGGGCCCAATGTGATCAAGTCTGATGGTTAGGCGTTCGCCTATAGTGCCGAAGGCCGTGGGTTCGAATCCTGCGGGGTGCAAGAGTCGTGGATGCGCACTGCTGAGGAGTCCCATTGTTTCATGGTTTCAAATATAACAGGACACTAGTGATAGGATTGTTGATTATAGCAGCAATAACGAACCGA